CCCTCGTCCTTCCTCTCCGTTCCCTCCAGGGCCGGCTCCAGGCACCAGCAAAACAAGCAGGTGCTTGGGGCGGCATTCTGGCGCCGGCCATCATAGGCGCTGACTCTGGGGCATGGGGAAAAAGTGCCCCCGCTGCCCCAGCTTGCCTCCCCAGCTCGCCTCCGCTCCGCCTCCGCCTGCTGCCCTGCGCACCCCCCGACCGCTCCGCTTCTCTCCCCTCCCTCCCAGGGTTGCCATGCGCGAAACTGCTGTTTCGTGCAGCAAGGCTGGGAGGGAGGGAGGGAGGAGAAACCGAGCGGCGGGCGCTTGGGGGAGGCAGCGGTTGTGCAGCGGAGGTGAGCTGGAGCGGGGAGCGGTTCCTCTACCCCCTGTTACTTCCTGCGCCTCCCCAGTTACTTCCTGCGCCCCCCATCCTAGCTCACCTCCGCTCCGCCTACTCCCCTGAACGTGCCGCTGCTCCGCTTCTCCCCCCTCCCTCGCCTGAGAGGGAGGGGGGAGAAGCAGAGCGGCGGCGTGCCCGGGGGAGCAGGCGGAGCGGAGGTGAGCTAGGGCGGGAGGTCATGGGGGGCCCGCAGGAAGCAATGGGGGGGGGGAATGCAGCATGCCATGGGGAGAAGGCAGGGCTGGAGATTTGGGGAAGGGGTTCAGAAGGGGTGGAGTTGGGGTGGGGCCGGGGGCAGGAGGGCACGAAAAAAAAGGGGGGGCGGCCAAAAATTTTTTTGCTTGGGGCGGCAAAAATCCTTGAGCCGGCCCTGGTTCCCTCCTATTGTTTGTCACACTCACTGGTTCCATTTTGTCTTCAATTAGGCCCCAATCCTGCAAACACTGATCCATGTACTTAGCTTTTTGCAAGTGCGTAATCCCACCGAAGTCAGTTGAACTACTAACTTGCATAGTGTAATTGTTTGCAGGATCTGGGCTATACATTGTAATCTCTCTGAGCATGGTACTATGTACAGCTCCTGGACTTGTAAATTACCTGGCATAATGGGGCCGTAGTCATGAGTGACACACTGGGGCACTACTGTAATACAAATTAAAAAATAATATTAACATTAATAATTGACTCCAGTGGGAGCACGATCAGAAGTATGAATCAAAATGTGCCGGCTCTTAAATAAACCACACTTTGTTTTCTGTTTTAGCATGTAAATGCAATGGCCATTCAGACCAATGCCATTTTGACATGGCCGTGTACATAGCTAATGATCGCATCAGTGGCGGCGTATGTGAAGACTGTCAGCACCATACCATGGGGCAACACTGTGATCAGTGCAAGCCTTTCTTTTACCGGGATCCCCGCAAAACAATTTCAGACCCTCGGGCCTGCATCCGTAAGTGCGCTGTTCTTTCCCCCCTTTACAAATGGCTAGCAATGATTGGATCAAAATAAAATATTTCCAGTTCTCTTTGTAAGCTGCTACACTCTCCAAGTGCTTTCTTCATCGATACACTTAATAATCAATATAGATGTTAAAATGTTGGCCTACCTCAGAAGCAGAAGCGTTGTATAGACCAGTTGATTAACAGCATTCTCAAGGTAATGGGGAAAAAGAACCTGCATTAATTTCAACTATGGCTCATCACTGAATTCAGCTTTGAAGTCCAGCAGGGAAGATATCTTTCTTGTAACAAATCAGCGTAAATATGAATAGCCATAAATGGCCAGACTCAGGCCAGCCCCCGCGCAGGAGCAAGAGAAGAGGCGAACACAATGAGTTCCCTAAAACCTTGCATCCTTCAAGATGGATTTACCAGAACCTTATTCAGGAGTGTATTGTTTGCTTTTTCCTAGATGCTAGGTACCTGAAAGAGGGTGGGGAATGACTAAGATGGGGCTATGACTCCTCCCTCTGCACAAAGAGAAGAGGGGAGCATTTGCATTCTTCAAGGGATGGGTAGCTCCCCCTCCAGTATGTTTTGCCTGGAAGGCCCTTGGAATAATTTTGGTTAAGATGAGGCTTTGCTTGTAGAGTGTCTAACACTCTGGGGCCCTGATCCTGACAGGAGTCTCTGGGCACTACCTGAATACAAATATGTAATTAATAATAGCAGTTATGGAACCTGCATTTTAATGAGTATTTCTAAATATCATTATTTCCACATCTGCCTTTGAATTTCTGTGTTTGTAGCCTGTGATTGTGACCCAGAAGGCACATTATACAGTGGGTTGTGTGAAAGCTGTACAGACCCTATTCTTGGAACTATTGCTGGTCGGTGCCTTTGCAAGAAAAACGTTGAGGGAATCCGTTGTGACATGTGCAGGCCGAGCTACTATGGGCTGAGTGGCAGTGATCCTCTTGGCTGCCAGCGTACGTAAACTATGATCTTTTTCTTTTTTCCTTTCAAAACTTAATTTTATGTGATAGAGGCAGATAAAAAATAAATCTGGCCCCTTTACAAGTCACATCAGGTTGTCTGCCGTCACTGCACCAGGTAATATTTCCTGGAAATTATCTGAAATGAATCCTAGAATCAGAAATGTAGGGCTGGAAGGGACCTGGAAAAGTCATCCAGTTCAGTCTCCTGCACTGTGGCAGAACCATGTAAACCTAGGCCACTCCTAACAGGTATGTGTCCAACCCAGAGGTGCCAACTCCGTGGGTGCTCCAGGGCTGGAGCACCCACGGAAAAAAAATAGTGGGTGCTCAGCAACCACTGGCAGCCCTGCTGATCAGCTCCTCCCTCTCCACCCCTCCAGTGCCTCCCATCCGCCGGTGGGTCCTGCTGATCAGCTCCTCCCTCTCCCCCCCAGCGCCTCCCGCCCATTGGTGATCTGCTGTTCAGGAGGCCCTGAGGGAGGGAAGGGGAGGAGCGGTGGTAGGAAGAGGTGGAGCAAGGGCAGAGCGTACTTGGGGAGGGGAGGAACAGGGCGGGAAGAGGGAGGGTGGGGGCGGGGTGGGGCCTGGGGTGTAGCAGGGGTCGAACAACCCCAGGGAAACCAGAAAGTTAGCGCCTCTGGTCCAACCTGTTTGTAAAAACCTCCAGTGATGGGGATTCTATAACTTCCCTTGGAAGCTTATTCCAGAGCTTGACTATCCTTACAGTTGGAAAGTTTTTTCTAATATCCAACCTAAGTCTCCCTTGCTACAGATTAAGCGCATTACTTCTTGTCCTATTTTCAATAGACATGGAGAACAATTGATCACCATCCTCTTTATAATAGCTTTAACATATTTGAAGACTGTTATCAGGTACCCCCAATAAAGGAGACCAGTCTATAAAGGAGAGTAGGACTAGAAATATACGATTTGCCAAAAACATGGTATAGAATTAGCCCCATTGTCTTTTAAATAGAAGGAATATTAAATATGTGATCTGATTCCTTTGATAAGGGGGATTTCAAACAGGTGACATTTTTATTTATATTAAACAAGTATCAGAGTAATTGGGTAATCATGAAGGAGACTAGCTTGAATCACTCATAGTGCAGGTAGGCTTCATGCAAGACTTCCCCAGCATGCCTTCCCCCAATGCACCGCCCTTCTGGCTTGCAGCACTCATGCTATCCCAGGTTCTAATGTTCTGCTGTCAGTTTGTAAGGTTGTTAGTGACACAGACAAATATTCATTGCAAGCATCTTATGTCAGATTTTGCAGAGTCATGTCCTGGGTTAGTATTTCAAAAGCGTATAGAAACTATTTACCTGGGCAGGTAAACCAGTGCCTTTTAAACAGAGGAAAAGGGGAATGTCATCAAAATCCCCCGCCGAACATTCCATTCATATTTTTAGGGTATAAAAACATGAACATGAAGTCCATATAAACCCACCTGGAACAGAAACAAAACAGACGAGGTCTGCACTACCATGTGAGAGCACTCTTTTGGGGATGATTTAGGAGGCCCTGTACATTGGGCTGGTAAAGATCAAGTAGGTGGCAAACCTGACACGCTGGGTATCAAAAGGCTGCAGACTGCATTATTCTCAAGAACTTTCAGCCAATCACTTCTTTGAACCAGTTTCAAGTGACATTGTGCATCCTTGTCCTCCTCAGGGACTGTCAAATTTTGCAAACACATTGTGCTTATCAAATAATAAATAACAATAAGGGTAATAAAGGCAGAGGTTAGGCTCAGCAATGGTGAGAATACTAAAGTGGAGCAAAGATGAAGAATGCAGCAGAAACCACTGCACAGAACTTCTTCCAAGAGTCCAACATGTTTTGCCAGAGCCATCCCTTGCATACTAGCAGAGCTTCTCCTTCCAGATGCCCACCAAAAATACCGGAGGAAAATGATCTGCCCGTCAGAAACAGCTGGTTTGCTAAGTATTAATTGGATTCCGAAGCTGGTCTTCTGCAGTTTGTTCCCCCGATAGTTGAATGCAATGGTTATTTCAAATTCACACCAAAAGTCAGAGTAGGGCTCGTTCCTGCACTGGCACTAATGGAGGTGATTATGTGTTTCTTTCCTTGCAGCCTGCACCTGCAACCCTTCTGGGAGCTTGTCTTTCTCGATGTGTGATCCAGTGACTGGAGAGTGCCTCTGCCAGCGCTTTGTCACAGGGCCACATTGTGATGAATGCCTTGTATGTAATCAGGAGGCTTTTGTTATTGCTTCATGTAGCATCCTGTTTTACACATCCTCAAAGGTCTTCGCCTTGCCCACGTCCTGCCTCCTTATGGCCTCTGCCATGGACATCCTGTTAAAGGGGAACACAACACAATTCCAAGTGGAAATGGCCCATAGGCCACAACATTTATCATAGAATTAGACAAAAAAGAGTGATAGGGCATGAGAACAAATAGTCCTTGCTACAAGGAACCCTCAGATGAGTCTCTCCACCCATTCTAATTAAAGCAACCTGGAGACGGACCTCTGTGGTGCTTCAATTGATCCAACCATGTTCTCATCCAGGTCTGGCTTGCTGGCACATAGCCGGATTCTGCTCTTACTGAAGTCATTGGCAAAACTCCCATTGTTTTCAATGGAGCAGGATTCAGATGACTAAACCAGCAGATGCTGTACCCCTATAGAGATAGTTAGATTGCCCCAAGAACATCCCCCAGCAGACTCCAGTGGGGATGGGGCAGGTGTCTACTGCCTTGTGAGTGACATCCGCAGTTTCTAACATGTCCCCACTATGACAGCCTTGAGTGACGGTGGAGATAATTCCTTGTGAGACTACCCATACTCACTGTTGTTAAAAACACTTGATGGTTTGTGCCCTTTATGTTCTGTTATGGGGGAAGCTGTCATGGCTGAAAATATAGGTGGGAACAGTTAGGGTTGGACAAGTATTGAAAAGCATTGTCTATGAATATTCACTTGAAATTTTAAATGACTGAGCTTCATCCGTGATTGGGCCTTTTTGTGAACATTTGTGCAGCCAAGTATACTGGCACCAGCTTTTGCAGAAAGAAAACGAATGATAGTCCCAATGAGAGTAGAGTTTCTTCTTAGTCAAAAAGGATTGGGGTTTTTGTTGTAATTTAAGTTGTTAAATAGTCACAGTCAAAAATCAATACATTTTCCTTTCTTATCATAGGTAGGATACTGGGGGCTTGGGAATAATTTATATGGCTGTTCTCTGTGTGGCTGTGACATTGGTGGAGCCCACAATAACTTGTAAGTCATTTAGTTCTCATTTAAAAGTATCTTTCTCCTTTTGATTGTATTGAATTAACACCAGCATATATTGCACCTTTTTGATAGGGATCTTGTGGTTAATGAAGAAACCAAGAACCGGTAGTTTAGAGACAGAGTTTCATCGTGTGTGAGCAATGTAAAATCACCCTGGTGTATAAGATTTTGTGACTTTATTAGCGAAGTTTAAATGGATTTGAGTATGACCAGGAAATGTCAGTACGTACTAGGGAACTTCTAGTGTGCAGCAGCAGGGTCCATGTGTACAGTCTGTGCGCAGCACACTGGACAGCGGTAGATTGACACCTTAGCTTGCTACGCAGTAAGTATTTATGTAGACATGCCCTTATCTTTTTCTCTGAAGCAAATTTTAAATCGTTAAAATTCAAGCTCAGTTAAATGAAAAGTACAAACCACCCCAACCTGACTCCCGATGCACAGGGCCCCCAACATTGTACAGTTTGGAACAATATTTTTGAACTTGGGTTCCTACATTCATGTTTAGGCACCTAAATAAATAGCCTGGTTTTCAAATGGAGTTCCGTTGCTTTAAAAAAATGCCGGACTTTAGGCCACTCACATTTGAAAACATTGGCCCTATACTTTGCTGTGTCAGGGTCTTCATTACTCCAGGAAAAAGGTTACTAGAGTGCATGGTCTGGTCCCATATAGCAACTCCTGCAGTATGTTTCTATGCACATGGTTAGGTAAAACCAAGCTAGTGAATACAGGACATGATGCAGTTTGTGGAATTGGTAGAGCAAGCAAGGGTGACAGACACATACCTTTCCCAAATGATTAATAAGGAAGCACTGGAATAAAATCCAGCATTACAAGCAAGAAATAGTGGTTGCTGGAAAAATATTTAAAAATTGAGTTAATTTTATAGTGAAAGGAACAATAAGAATAAAAGCAAAGGTAGAATAGCTACCCCCTGTGTATGGTGGTAACATATGTGCATTGGTGAGACTCTTACACCTCTTCTTTCCCACCTGTTCATCCAGGTGTTCATCAAGTGATGGGCAGTGTGACTGTCTTCCTAACATTGTGGGCCGTCAATGTACAGAACCAGCCCCAGGCTACTTCTTTTTACCATTGGATTATTATATCTATGAAGCAGAGCATGCAAAGCCACTTTCCGGATCTGCACCTTTGGTATGTTTCACTTTTATGTGCGGTATTCAGAGGTAATGCGTAAGGTGGTGTAAACTGGTATAAGGCAGTCTAGGTTGGTGTCAGTCGAATGCTGAGGGAAAAGGGGAGAGTGCTGTAGCGGGGAAAGCAACCAAAAGGAGGATGGAAGATGATTTCATGTAAAGTGGGTTCCTCACCCTCCCCTGTAATTTTAAATGACACTCCTCATTGTGTAAATTACACTGATTGACACTCCCTGGCCCTAGTCCTTGACTGTAACCAGGGAGCCCTTGGTGAAGTGTGGAGAGGTGCCCACAGGTGCCCTTTGTGTTCCTTCAGTCTTGAGTTGCCCAGGTACCTGGCCAGTCCCGAGTGTAAATTAGAGCATCCTGAAGGTTTATGCCAGCTGCCAAAGAGCCCGAGAGGCCATGATAGCAGCTGGATACTCTGGAGTGCTGAGGTGCCTGGCACAGGCCTTCATCTCTGGCCACAGCACTTGATTAGAAAGAACCTTTCAGTGGTTCTATCCCATCTGTGGCTTCCTGTATGTGAGGGGTGGGGGTCTTCCTCTGCTCATTAATGCCAGCTTTAGGATAGCTCCGTGACGGGTTGGGTCACAGAAACCCCCTTGGGACTGCCACCTGATATGCTGGGACTACCTCTAAGCCCATTTTCCCTGGCAGCTTGGGACCTCAGTGCTCTGCCTGGTTGTGCCAGACACACTAGCCTGCTACACACACAGACCCAGGTCTGAACCACGTCCCCCAAAAGCTGCAGGCTTAACTGAAAACAGCTTAAGAAATTCTCCTGTCTCCAACACTGAGATACCCAGTTTCCAATGCGATCAAAACCCCAAATAAATCCGTTTTACTCTGTATAAAGCTTATACAAGGTAAACTCATAAATTGTTCGCCCTCTATAACACTGATAGAGAGAAATGCACAGCTGTTTGCTCCCCCAGGAATTAATTACTTGCTCTGGGTTAATTAATAAGTAAAAAGTGATTTTATTAAATATAAAAAGTAGGATTTAAGTGGTTTCAAGTAATAACAGACAGAGCAAAGTGAATTACCAAGCAAAATAAAATAAAACACGCAAGTCTAAGCCTAATACAGTAAGAAACTAAATGCAGGTAAATTTTACCCTCAGAGATGTTTCAATAAGCTTCTTTGACAGATTAGACTTCTTCCTAGTCTGGGTCCAGCAATCACTCACACCCGTGTAGTTACTGTCCTTTGTTCCAGTTTTTTTCAGGCATCTTTTTGGGGATCTTTTTGGAGAGGCTATCTCTTGAGCCAGCTGAAGACAAAATGGAGGGGTTTTCCAGGGCTTTATATAGTCTCTCTTGTGGGTGGAAACTCCTCTCTCCCCCTGTGTAGAATTACAGCTACAAGATGGAGTTTTGGAGTCACATGGACAAGTCATATATTCATGCATGACTCATAGAGTCATAGACTTTAAGGTCAGAAGGGAACATTATGATCATCTAGTCTGACCTCCTGCACAATGCAGTCCACAGAATCTCACCCACCCACTCCTGTATCAAACTCCTAACCTGTGTCTGAGCTACTGAAGTCCTCTAATCATGGTTTAAAGACTTCAAGGTGCAGAGAATCCTCCAGCAAGTGACCCATGCCCTACGCTGCAGAGGAAGGCGAAAACCCCCCAGGGCCTCTGCCAATCTGCCCTGGAGGAAAATTCCTTCCCGACTCCAAATATAGTGATCAGCTAAACCCTGAGCATGTGGGAAAGACTCACCAGCCAGACACCCAGGAAAGAATTTTCTGTAGTTACTCAGATCCCACTCCATCTAACATCCCATCACAGGCCATTGGGCATATTTATTGCTAATAGTCAAAGATCAATTAATTGCCAAAATTAGGTTATCCCATCATACCATCCCCTCCATAAACTTATCAAGAAGCTTAGTCTTGAAGCCAGATATGTCTTTTGCCCCCACTGCTCCCCTTGGAAGGCTGTTCCAGAACTTCAGTCCTCTGATGGGTTAGAAACCTTCATCTAATTTCAAGTCTAAACTTCCTGATGGCCAGTTTATATCCATTGGTTCTTGTGTCCACGTTGGTACTGAGCTTAAATAATTCCTCTCCCTCCCTGGTATTTATTTCTCTGATATATTTATAGAGAGCAATCATATCTCCCCTCAGCCTTCTTTTGGTTAGGCTAAACAAGCCAAGCTCTTTGAGTCTCCTTTCATAAGACAGGTTTTACGTTCCTCGAATCATCCTAGTAGCCCTTCTCTGTACCTGTTCCAGTTTGAATTCATCCTTCATAAACATGGGAGACCAGAACTGCACACAGTATTCCAGATGAGGTCTCACCTTGTATAATGGTACTAACACCTCCTTATCTCTACTGGAAATACCTCACCTAATGCATCCCAAGACTGCATTAGCTTTTTTCACGGCCATATCACATTGGCGGCTCATAGTCAACCTGTGATCAACCATACTCTGAGGTCCTTCTCCTCCTCTGTTACTTCCAACTGATGCATCCCCAGTTTATAACAAAAATTCTTGTTATTAATCCCTAAATGCATGACCTTGCACTTTTCACTATTAAATTTCATCCTATTACTATTACTCCAGTTTACAAGGTCATCCAGATCTTCCTGTATGATATCCCGGTCCTTCTCTGTATTGGCAATACCTCCCAGCTTTGTGTCATCCGCAAACTTTATTAACATACTCCCACTTTTTGTGCCAAGGTCAGTAATAAAAAAAAAAAAATAAGATTGGTCCCAAAGTCGATCCCTGACTCAGTTCTCTACAGTCTGAGCCATTGCCCACATGTTAGCCCGAACGTTCCCAGGAAAGCTCAGATGTGGATTGGTGTCTATCAAGGTCCATTGTTAGCCAAGTACTCCCAGTTACTTAAATAACCCCTTCACACTATGTTGACCAAATCTGCCTTAGGTGCTTTCTACAGCAAACACTTTAAATACAATGCTCATATGAGCCAATGCTCATAAGGTCAAATGTAAAAATGATACATGCATACAAATAGGATGAATATATTCAGTAGAACATAACCTTTGCAAAGTTATGTTACATGGCATATCTAGCATAAAACATATTCCAGTTATGTCATATTTACACTCATAAGCATATTTCTATAAGCATTATGAGGTGCAACGTCACAAGCTCTAATAGACTTGTTTAGACTCGCTTACACCACTGCATACACTGACTCTGAACTTAGTCCAGATTCTTCAAAAGTTCACATAACTGAGCCAGTCCATATGTCTTTTATTGATTTAAAATAGTTTCTTAATATAGACATTGCTGTTGTGCATCCATAATGCAAGCTTTGGTTCTACTGGAATGTGTTCTCTTCTTCTGCCAAGATTTCTACAAATGTTTCTTCTCTATGTGTCCTTGAGAAGCCACAAGCAGGGCTTTAAATAAAAAAAATATTTATTTGCTTGGCATATCTGAAAATAATCAGATATAATCACAAGCAGTAATCAACCTATGTTCCAGTAATGAAATAGAAAACAGATTTCTGGGACAGAGTGTGGAATGCCAATTTTTATGTGGCAATAAAAGCTAGTTGGAACGGTGGTTATGTCTTCACTGCAGATAAAAGTGTGTTCTTAACTCAAGTTAGCTAACTAGGGTTACACAGCAGTGACGACATGGCAACTCTGCTTTTAACTCATGTTAGCAACTCAAGGGGGACTCTGGGGTTGAACTTGAGCTGCTAACCGAAGTTAAAAGTTGAGGTGCTGTGTCTTCACAGCTGTTTCAACCCAAGTTAGCTAATTCAAGGTTTTTTTTGCAGTGAAGACATATGCATTGCGAAAAAGAGATATTTTCAATGCTTATTGGGCCACATTCTTGGAGCTGCACCCATTTACTCCAAGAGAGACTATAGCCTATTGTTTGGATTTTCATTTTTACATAGCCATATATGCTTAACGATTGTTCAAACTGCGCTGTCACATAAATCATCGATTTTTCCTTTTCAGGTTAAACCAACAGCTTTACCAAGGTGTGATGTATATTTTCAGCAGCAAGGATATGATTTCACCATTGAAAATGGAAATATTGTATTAAACAGGAGCAAGAAACGAAGCATAAGAAAACCGGGGTTGGAACAGGTAAACTGATACTACAGTAATCGTTCAACAAAGAATTGCAACAAATGCTGCTAATGTTTAATATTGCAACAAGAGTTTTGGTTTAGGGAATGGGTTAAACCATTGGTGACTATGAAATTGGAATTTACAGGCTTGTGTATCAGAATCCTTATGCAAATGGGATACAATAATTCAGTTGTTCATATACAATTGGGCTGGATATTTTATAATCCTCTCTCTCTCTCTCACTCACACACACACACACACACACGCACAGAGGCTTATTTTGCCATGTTTAGTGGGCAAGCTGTAGGCTTAAATTCAGAGATTTATTTAGAAAGAAAAATGTAGCCTAGTAGGGGGCTCATTTTCAACTTCTGAGACTTACATGGATACTTGCATCATACCTATTAGCGTCATTGCAATTTAAGCCATTGTCAGCTTTCCAATTATAAACATCTGCAGTCATGGATTATAGACTGCCCAAAAAAATGTGTCTGTGAGTAAACAGCCTGAAATGTCTATTAACCCTATTTTAATATAGATTATAGTTATATCTAGAAAACAGAGGGAGAAAGAGATGGAGAGAGAGATGACACCTTTATTCACATAAAATTACATTAAAAGTATTTTAAAATGTTATAAAATTGCAATATATAAGCAAAAAGGCATGAATGAAATAAAGCAAAACACATTAAACATTAAGTGAAGATTAAATATTGATCACTAAAGCATCATCATTAAGGCTAAGATTTTGTCATGGATATTTTTAGTAAAAGTCACGGACAGGTCACAGGCAAAAAAAAAAAAAAAAATTCACGGAAGCCGTCACCTGTCTGTGACTTTTATAAAAAATATACCTGACAAAATGGGGATCTGCAGGTCCCCACATTGCCTGAAGCTGGGCAGCTGCGCAGGGACTGGGAGCTGCCTGCAGCAGCTGGAGGCTACAGGTACCCCTGCTGCCTGCAGCTTTGGGGGTCCCCCCGCTGCCTGTGGGGGCCGGGAGCTGTGGGGTGCCCCCACCTCCCATGTTGGACGGGAGCTGCGGAGTACCCCCGGCGGCAGCAGGCCAGGAGCTGCAGGGGTTTCCCTGCCACAACTGGGAGCTGCAGAATTCTCTGGCCGAGGGCTCAGATTTCTCCGCCACCCATGGTGGCTGGGGACTTGGGGGGGTCTCTGCCAGGGGCTCAGGGATTCCCCCGCTGCCCGCAGGGGCCGGGGGCTGAGTGGTTGCCCTGCCAGCAGCCAGGGATTTCTGCCAGCTGGGGCTTGGGGGTTCCCCCACTGTCTGCGGCGGCCGGGGGCTTGGGGGTTCCCCTACCACCCAGGGCAGCCGGGGGGTTGGGGATTCCCCCACCACCCATGGCAGCTGGGAGCTCCAGGGGCCACCAGAGGCTCCAGGGGTACCCCGCAGCTCCCTGTTCCCACTGGAAGTGGGGGAACCTGCAGCTCCTGATTACCCTGCAGGCTGACGTCACGGAGGTCACTGGAAGTCTCGGATTCTGTGACTTCCGCAACCTCCGTGACTAAATCATAGCCTTAATTATCATCACCAGGTTCAAAATATTGTTAACACACCAAGTCAGCCAGAAAGCGTCCAAGTTGCAAGTCAATGTATAAAACGTGTAATCAATCCAGAGCTGGGCGTTCAGCCAAGAATACTTTCTAAGAGTGGGGTGAGAGGACCTCCAAACATCTACTAATCCAAAGGTCTGCAGGAGACTGTTCCCTGTCTGACTGAGGGTCTGGCTCCTCATGGTTCCTGTCTAAAACATAATCTACAGTGCAATTGAAATCCGTTTCTAGCACAATAGTAGTATCTGGGTCACAGCCAAGCATGGAATAGGCAAGTGTCTACAGAAAGGAGACACGATCTCGCCCCAGAATAGGGTCATACACAGTAAAAAGATTAAAAACAATAGTGCCAATATGTGTATCCACCTGGAGAAGCCGCCCCTGCATAGTCTCCTTCACAGAGCGGATCTGTGCCCCAGCATCCTGGGAAAAGAGAACAGCTACCTCAGCAGTGACATTGGAACCATGGCTCAAGAAAGTTTCACTTTTCCATTCCTTCAAACAGTTCCCCTCCTTATAAGGGTCTGAGTGCATCTTTTGCAAAAGGACAACATCGGCACATTTTTCTCTGAGAAATTCGAAGAGTTGTGCCCTTTTATGACCATCCCGGCACCCATTACTATTTAGAGAGCCAAAATTGAGCAGCACCATAGCGACTAGTAGAGAGCCAACAGCAGAGAGAAACAATGGAAAGTGGAAGTACTTTGAACAAAATAAGCCATGGAGAGGCCTGTATATCTTGAACAACCCCTGCATGCTTCCTCACTTTACTCAACAACTTTTTGAGACGGAAATGTTTCCTGCAATCAACCAAGGTATCTCTCAAGACAAAGGCGGCAGAGTGAACAAAGCACTGCAGATCAGGAATATAGGCCTCAACCTCAACTCACTGCTTCCCTTTAGGTCTATCCAAAAAGTCACTAATCTCCTTCTCACTGTACCACCCTTCCTATGTAGCTGACTGACTGGGACATCAGGAACCAGTGAGAAGTCAGAGAGATCATCATTGTCCTCTTCATCTCCCTCAGACTCAACCAGCTCAGAAGAACATTGAGCCACCGCTGGAACATTCATATCATTCATGCAGGAGGGAGATTCAGTGGGAGTAGCTGGCATATCTATTGCCCCAAGAGTGGTAGGCAGTTCAGCCTTAGGCTGGGACCCATAAGTGCAACCATGCAGGAGTGGGGGCTTGAGGACTCACCATGCCAAGGGAAGACAGTACCTCACTGAGAGCTTCAAGCATGGCGCTACCTCCCAGTGCAAGGCTATCCTCCTTCTCAGGGCACACAGCTCCATCTCCAGCCACTGCCAGCAGCTCAGGGGCTTCCAAAGTCTTAGACCTTTTGGAAATAATTCTCCATAAATCCATCTGATTGGTCTGTTCTTCACCCCCATCTCTAGAGCATGTCTCTGCTTCCTCTGCAGGGAATTGCTCCTCCAGGACTCACTTCTGTCCTTGCACAAATGATGGGGTCACAACAGAGATGTGCTTGGGTGGGGGGTGCTCCTCCCTGTACAATGGCAGACCACTTACAGTGAGGGGGGAATAGAGTCTGGTAGTGCAGATGCAGGCTCTGTTTCCTGCTGGTCCCTTGATGTCCCAGCCCCCTGCCCATTATCCTGGGGTTCCACATTCTCTCCAGGGGATCCCATATCCAGTACTGCATGGGCAGGAACCCCTCAAATGACCAGGGTCACCAGACTAGAAACATTTCATGTTTTCAGAGGTAGCAAATATTGTATAATCTATGTGGTGCATTAAAACTAGGTTCGAGGGCTGTTGCAGATTATTTAGAACCGTGTAAAACTGGTGGCAGAATGACACACCATGCCCCACATCTACTTTCTTGCAGCGTAACAGAATCATCCTAACAGCAGAAACTATCTTCCCATAGTGGGAGAGAGCAGATACCAATGTCTCATTGTGAAGGAAGGGGGACATTGGAAAAAACTACTTTATTAGCAGGAGTAAACAAGGGAAATACTTGAACAAAAGACTCCTTGACCCAGAGTCCTGACTGTACTAAATGATTCACAAACTGCTCCTGGGCCAGGGAAGTCACTATAGATTTGCTTATTCAAGAGGCAGATTTTATATTAGCACAGCCAATAACCTTACCAACGCTCAGCAACACATCCTCTGCAGTGCAGGAGACAGCAGGCACACCCTGAACCCCACGCTTGCAGGTCAAACCACTAAACCCATCTGAAGTGAACCCCATGGAGAAAACCACCAACTCACCCCAAGGAAAAAAGGGGGGGACCAACAATACCCCTGAAACAAAGAAACCGAAAGTAACCAAACCAAACCAAACCGACTAACAGAAACCCAGCTAGAGCACAAAGTACATAACAGACACAGTCTCACTTCCAGAAGCTCCCACAATCCCCAGACAAAGAGCAAGAGAGGTTTTCTAGGTGTGACTATAACTTTAATTTATATATATGAGTTTTTTTAGAGGACCAGATCTTCAGCGTGTTTACAAAATGATGCTGACTAGTTGCAGAAACTAGGAATCTGCGCAGCAGAAGCACCTATCTTTTTCCTGTATTTGTTATTCACAATGTCACTATCTCCTTGCAGGGCTGGGTTCAATTTGGGAGGAACTCTGCTCTGGATATTGTTTTCAGGGAGCCCACCCCTGGCAAACCTGTCACATGGACAGGTCCTGGCTTTGCCCGTGTCCTGAATGGCGCTGGATTAAGATTTACTATCAGCAACATTCCCTTTGCAATGGACTTTGATATCGCTCTTCGTTATGAACCTGAGGTATTTGAATTCAGACTTTTAATTCACCATTTAAATACTTTCCTAAGAGATGCTGTTCTAGGGCAATAATATGACAAATGAAGAACAAGAGCTTTGGACTGACACATCTGTTTTCAAATGGGGCTGATTTCTACAAAACTATCAGCCTTATCCTATCATATTTGTGTCCCATAAATAGAATATATAGGGCCAAAAACCTGCCATGTGCTTCGCAGTGGCCTGTAGGGGGGAAGTAATTATGCATCAACGGGCTCTGATAACCAACCTAGCGCTAGGACAAGGGTCCGGCTACCAGACCCACTCGTGCGCCACAGCTAGTTAGTGCATATGCTGCCACAGGCAGCACATGCTAGCTAGGAGCACACACTGTCCTTCTGAGAGGGCAGCGATGGGTTCTCCCCCCACACACGTGTGTTCCCTGGAGGAGAGAGGATGGGGAGGGAAAGAGGCCAAGGATGAGAGCAGGGTGGCGGTGAGAGGGGGCAGTGAAGGAGAGAGGAGGGGTGTGGGGAGTATGTGGGGTGGATGGGGATGCAGTGGGAGGCAGAAGGCTACAGGTGCAGGAGGATGTAGGGGTCACAGGGGTGTATAGGGACATAATGGGAGTGCAGCAGTGTATGGAGGTGAATAGGGTGCAGGGCTGTAGGGGGTGAGGGACATAGGGGGTAGCGGCTCTGGGAGGTAGAAAGGATGGGTGGGAGAGTGCTGTAAGGTATACAGGGCTGGGATGGGGAGGGATACAGTGAGGGATATGGGGGTGCAGGGAGTTGGGGAGGGATACAGTGAGGGGTATAGGGATGCGGGGGGGTTGGGATGGGGAGGGACGCAGTGATGGGGGTGCAGGGCTTGGGGGGGAGGAGTTGCCCAGAGTTCAGGGCTGCTAGGGCCAGTGGCGGACTCAGGAGGACTGTCCCAGGCCGGGGTGGTGGTGCTGCTGGGGTGAAGGCGGTGCTGCCGGGCCGAGCCTGCCCCTGACTCCCTGAGCCTGCCGGGATGGGCTGGGCACTGGGTTTGTCTCGTTCTCCTGCCATCTCCTCCAGCAGCCCCATTCCCAGCGCTCGGAGATGGGGATAAATATCTTAAACTCCTGGGTGCCGGCGATGGGGCGACAGACCGTGGTTCACCACAGGGCATGCACCACAGCTCGAGCCCAGCCACAGGAGTATGAGAAGAGGGCTGGCAGCAGTGGGAGAGGCGTGCGCCACAACCCCTCAACAACCGCCTGCTGAGTGCTCGCGAGTTGCGCTAGTTCGTCCCCTGCCCTGACGTAGCCAATGGGAGCTGTGCCTGTGGGCGGAGGGCAGGGCAGCATGCGGGCCCCCTTGGCCACCCCTAAGCCTAGGAGCCGGACATGCCAACTGCTTCCTGGGAGCTGCACGGTGCGGAGACTAGCAGGGAGCCTGACAGCCCCGCTGCGCAGTGCTGCCAACCGGACAGTCAACGGCCTGGTCAGCGGTGCTGACTGGAACCATCAGGATCCCTTTTCGACTGGGTGTTCCGGTTGAAAACCGGACACCTGGTCACCCTAGTGGAAGGGCAGGGGGCGGGGCTGGGGGCGAGAGAGCTGCGCCGGAGGAGCTGCCGCCCCACGTTCTGCTCCTTTCCCCGCTGCGGTTCTGAAGTCTCGGGCGCAGCAGGAGGAGGACTGAGCCTTCCCCCCCCCCAGGTAACATGGGATGGATCATGGGGAGGGAACAGGGAGAGCATGGGGGCCCTGGGCTGGGGGCAGGGCAGGGAAGAGTCACATGGACGGTCACGTGGGGAGGCCACATGCCCCCTTTAGCTGGTGCCCCTCCCCCTGTACCGGTAAGAAATTGATTCTACTTGCATCACTGACCCCACATGATCCCCCCCGCACCACATACCATTGTCATTCATAAAACAAAACAGAACCAGAACTGGGGAGTATTTTCTGGGCAGACCTCACCCTCCAGAATTCCTGATCTGTGTCCCCTGATTTGACTTTGTCTTGTGCCCACATGTCTGACACATGAAAAATGCATAATCATTTTAGATGTGATTAAACCATTGGCAATTATTCCTATAAACCACATGTGAGTTGCTCATCTGTACATGGCCCACCTGAACATCCTTTTTTCCTTCACTTCTCAGATATTTACAGTAACAACACCATTCAGGTTATCATTTATGACTGTTATACTTTAAACAGTTTACTAATCTACATAGAGAGCCACTCCTGTCATTCTGAGTCAGGCAAAACTCCCATTGATTTAGAGTGCAAGAATCGGCTCTGGATGAGTCTGTGATTTTGTATTGTGCTGCTATGATATACATTTTCACAGGTAAAGATTTGGACAATTCATTTAGAATTTTAAGAATCTCATTACAAAGTTATCTCAGTTCATTTTTACTTACTAGCAATTTGAGCAAAGTTATGTGCTGAACTCTGTATTAGAACCTCTTGGGACATATTGGGCACAGCTCCACTGACTTTATTGGAACTATACCCATTTACACAGCTCAAGAGCTGACCCTCCATTTCTAACTTCTTTGGATTACACTAACCATTGTTTTTCTCTTGCACTTTTCAGTAAAGAACATTCTAAAAAATATCATGTAATGAACAAAAGGGAATGCGGTGGTTATTACTGCAATATGTTATCATTTAGCTTGGCTCTCAGTAACATTGGCAGGTTGATGTGCATGTGAGAAAAAGCAAATTTTTCAGGTATTTTTGAAAACGATCACAACTTTCTTCCCAAATGTATAGTCTTTAGAAGACTGGATAGGAAGTATTGCGGTCAACCCCTCTGGCGCTTTGACAAGTGATCGCTGCAGAAACAAGGCACTTCTGCAAGAGCCACACGCATTGGCTTTGCCAGCTACAAAGAGGTGAGGATGTTACCTTCTTTACAACTCTAAATATTCAGTGTTCAAATGCTCTTCTCGAAGGCGTTTTGTAGCAAAGGGATAGATGCATGAGAATATGAATGGAATGTACTCAGAATTAGAACAGGGCATGTGGCCTTTCTCACTGCTGCTACACCAAAGTACCGGGCAGCTGTAGGATGCAATCTGAGGGCCTGATGCACCAGTCCTGACTCAGGCAAAACTCCACATAAGTCAAAGGTTTGCCTGAGTAAGGAATGCAGGCCCAGCTCCTGACAGTGACCCTTTTGGCAACGGGACCAATAACTCAGACACAGTGTTGGGCATTAGAACCTACCTCATTAAAGAGATGAAATATTTGGCCAAGAGACCCCAAGGATGTCCCTGGCTTCTCCTATTTTCAGAACTGCCTTAAGGTTTTTAACTTGCACTTCCATAGCTAACAGAAGGAAACAACTTCAGTTTAATGTCTCAGCCAAAGAATGGTAGGAAGTGCACAAATGTGAATAACGAGTTACACAAATATCCTCAGAATGACCAGGTGAACATTGCTCCTGGCAGATCCAGGACTGGGATACCAGCAAGAAATAGAATGTTTTTAAAAGTTCATCATCTTAAAAATCACTCTACAGTGAATCATTACAGTGACTGAATGGTTGTCACTTATTTTGATGAAATTAAGCCACCCAACCGATTATTATTTATTATTTGTATTATTGTCCTAGATAGGAGCCCCAGTCAATTGCACACTCCTCCATCTCAAACTCCCACACAGGATCTAGTCTCTCCTGACCATGTGTATGTAATAAGGCATGTGAACACAGAAGACTTATCAAATCTTTGTTTACATCCTTTAAATATTTTCTTAGGCAAATACTTTATACCTATTAACTCTCTGATAAAGGAACATTGACTCCTGTATTTATTCCTTCTAAACAGAATTGCACTTCTGCATACTCCTATCTGCTTAGACCCAGGAGTAGAGTATTTTGTAGATGTTTATTTATCACAGCCTTCTGCCTCTGATCCAAAGACTATATCATACATCTTGATTGATTCAGTAAGTAATCCTGTTACATACTTCCTTTTAATAATATTTATACCTGTTTCATACTCCTTGACAGAGGCATATTCAAAATATTTTGTGAACAGCCTTTAGAACTCTTATTTTAACCATTTAAAATCAAATTTTATCAAAAAAATCAGAAAAGCTTGCTTGTGGTTACACTAATTTGTATTGGGTGTACATATTTTCATGTTCAAATACAGATTTGTATTTGTGTACTAATTTCTGTGTCTGAATATTATAACTGTATGTCCAGTCACAGTAATTGCACATGCTACTAGCCAGTTGGTTGTATAATTGATCATTTGTTCGTTTACTGATGAAGTGCAATCATTAGTAGGGTAAATGCACACAGGTCTTTGTGCACAGCTTTTCTAAAAAATCTAAGCTAATATGTGTGATCCTCATGGAAAATTTTGGATATGCGTAGAGATGAATCCTGGAGTTTGGATCTAAATTTAGATCTGATTTTTCCCAGAAGTGTTCATATTTTGAGTTTTGGAATGGTTCATTGCAGAGCTGGGAGTCACACTTGAAATTTATATCCAAACTTTTCCCAAGTTTCAAGGACGTTTGGAGGTGGGTATTTGGTTTGTGCTCATTTCCAGATAAAATTTTAAAATACTTTAACATCAGTTTCTCTGGTAATCTTCGTAAAACTGAGTTTGATGGGTGAGGGAAGGGGGGAGAATGACCAAGTTTGGACTTCAATTCTTCAAACTACTTTTCTCTCTCTCAAGAATGCATGTACAAATGTTGACCAAATTCTGCCTCTAGATTCACAAATGCAGATACAGTTGACTTCAGCAGCAGTTCTGTACAAACATCATTCTGAGGACATACCATAATTTGGTTTTCTATATACATAATGCAGACTCATTTATCTCAAAATCTAGGGCAACACCCAAAACTTTAGAATAAATGTAGATTTGGGTGATGGAACAGTAAAATGGAAGGTCTAGCAATGGCTGAGCTCAGGGTTTCCAACCATGAAGTGCAGAGTTGAAGTAGCAGAGTTTGGTAAACTATAATTTTCTGAACGCCCTTTCCTTTCTTTGTCAACTCCAAAGCTTGGACTTATTCCCAGAATCAGTTCAGTGGAGAACCTGTGCAGTCAAAAAGATCTAGATGAGTACCAGCAGTATCACTGTGTCGAAATTGCTTCAGAAGTTGGATCTCATATTCTACCTGAAGTGTGTGCAAGGCTCATAGTGAGCATGTCTGCTCGTATTCACAATGGAGCAGTTCGTAAGTATCTGTACTAACAGCATGGTATAGACACTTCCACTGATGGTTGACTTTACATCAGTGATTCTCAAACTTTTGTATTGGTGACCCCTTTCACACAGCAAGGCTCTGAGTGTGACACACCTTATAAATTAAAAACACATTTTTTTTTATATTTAACACCATTATAAATGCTGCAGGCAAAGTGTGGTTTGAGGGTGGAGGCTGACAGCTCGCGACCCTCCATGTAATAACCTCACGACCCCTTGTGGGGTCATGACACCTAGTTTGAGAACCCCTGTTTTACATGCTCTCAGTAGAATATTATTATAGGCGTGCTCTATATCTACGTAGATATAAATAGTTAATAAATACAGTGCCAGTAGATGGCACTCCAGAGCATGTTGCATAGTTTCCTGCATTTTGTAGGACTAATAAAACTTGTTGTGCACTGCAAATGGCTTCCTCTAGCAGCTGTTTGCATCAGCACTGAACAAATATGATGGTCTTTCTCTTACAGCACAAAAACATTAAAAATGACAATACTTGTGGTATCTTTAAAGATCACTGTAACCACCCTATTCTGACATGATTCTCAGTATAAAATATGAACTCTTTGGCCTATTTAATGACCTAAATTGGGAGAGATTTGGGGACTCTTAGTTCCTGAGGCAGTGAGGCTTGGTGACCTTAGCAGCCCCATGTAAACAAGTTCTTTGAATGGAATGGCCTTAGTAACAACTATCTGGTGGTTGCCTGTGGGCAAAGGAATACCCTAGGAAAAGGTAAAGTAACTAGTGGCTATAGGCAGGGACTTTAGGGGCTGCAGCCCAGGGCCTTGGGCTAGGGGGGCCCCGGCGCAGCAGGGCTCAGGCAGGCTGCCTGCATGCTGTGGCCCCATGCCGCTCCCAGAGACGGCCGGCTGCTGGCACATCTCTGCGGCTCCTGGCGGCAAGTGGGGAGAAGTGGCTCCACACACTGCCCCCACCCCCAGTACTGTCCCCGCAGCTCCCATTGGCCAGGAACCGGCTAATGGGAGCTGCAGAGGCAGTGCCTGCGGGTGCTGGCAACACATAGAGACACGCTGTCCCCCTCCCCTCAGGGGCGCGCAGAGACGTGCCAGCAGCTGGTCGCTTCCGGGAGCGGCCTGGGCCTATGGCAGGCAGGCAGCCTGCCTGAGCCCTGCTGCACCTCTGGCCGGAAGCCACCTGTGGTAAGCGTTTCCTGGCCGGAGCCTGCACCATGCACCCTCCTGCACCTCAACCCCCTGCCCCAGGTCAGAATCCCCTCCTGCACCAAACTCCCTCCCAGAGCCCACACCCCTCACCCTCTCCTGCACCCC